ACACACACACACACACACACTCTACTCCTTCATATTACAAATATTCCATGTTTTCTTTTCTACAAAAGAGTATGATTTTCTTCATTTTTACGTATACTGAACCAAGAATATCTACTGGAAAAAAATGAAAGGTGGTTGGCTGCTTGGAGTTTTTTTGAGTTTTTGTTAGCTGTGCATATTTTAAAAGGAGTTTTCACTGTGAGATGACATTTCAAATGACTTTTCTGTCATCCAGTCATACAGACATAGAGCTACTGTGTGTATATTATTAAACAATGCTTATATGCCATTTAAATGGTCAGAAATTCATTCATGCAAGCCCAAATATAGGATATGGCTATTTTTATGGTAAATACCTTTGGAAAACAATAGCTTTTACCTCAGTAATTATTTGGCATGATAAAAATGAAGTCAAATAAACTCAAAAAATAACAGAAGAGATTTGTCTTTTATAGTACCTTGTTCTGCAGCTATTCAACTCATACAAAATAATAACTTCAATTGAGTCTTGCTCACTTTTACTCAAACTAAATAAAACCTTACACTACAAGTGCGACACAGTTCAATGATACTGCTGTTGAATTCATGATTTGGACTTAGATATCATCCTAAATTTGGCGTATTTGAAATGCTGACAAATTTTAAGTTTTTGAAATACTGGATAACATTGAAACATTGAAGTCTGGAGCATTTCTATGGAAAGTCTGGTGCTGCTGAAATGGCCATTTTTATTGTTTGTGATGTAGACCTTTTCAGGCTCATTTTGTGCAGAGGATTAAATAATATTAAGATGAATTCTTGAGTTAAATATCACACACTGGGCATGCAATGAGATACTCTGTTGTGTGGAAAGATAGTAAGACAGAAGAACTTACTTAATAGTATCATAAAGTTAGCAGCTTCAATACCTTGAATTAAAAAAAAGGACAAAAATTCTGGCAGTTGACTGGACTCTTTGACTGAAAGAACCCATGGCTTGTTTCAGTATGACAATGAGACAAAAGAGAAGGATCACAGAATACAAATATAATTTAGGAACTAATGATTTGACTAAGTCTTTGTTTATACACTTTAACGTTACCTCAGCAAGCAAGCTAGTAATACAGTTCATAATAACCTGGGATGAATCAGAATAAATTATTGACTGCAAAAGACTTGTCCAATTGTCAAGTCTTTGTTTAGAGGTTGTAGCAAAAGAAAACTAAGGAAAAATAACAGCAACGAAATTAGTTTCTGAATGTTGTGGGATGCAATGAAGTTGCACAAGCTCTAGTTTGTTATTGACAAGATAACTGTTCCTTTTTTTGTGTAGACACAAAATTGTTAATCCTATACTTCAAAAAGTATGATGTTTGTATTAGTTGTATGCAGTGGTTATGATTTTTTCTTTCATGTTGCTTTAACTATGTGCTGCTGTTTCTTGCAGCTGGATGAAGAAGCCTCGCTGTGGTGTGCCTGACCAAACAAGAGGTAGCTCCAAATTTAACATTCGTCGGAAACGCTACGCGTTAACAGGACAGAAATGGCAACACAAACATATCACTTACAGGTACCAGAGATATTCATATAGATATATAAGTGCAAACTTCTAAATTAAATGTATATAATTTTCTGAAATATTTTTCAATATTTTTAGAAGTTTATTATTAATATGCGATACAACAATGCTGATTTGGATACATCTTGGATAAGAATGTATGTCCTATGTTAGAATCAAATTATTTTCTTGGATTAAAATTGCATGACTTTCATAACTGGTAAATTTTCTGAAGCTTTCAGCATTGATTTAACACCTAATATGTCCTTAACCTTACTTTTGAACCCGCTTGGCAGCTTCTCAGGGAACAATTGCACTGAAACTAGAAGCACTGTAATGAAACACAGCTCTCTAATTTCAGTATGTAAAATAGATTATAGAAAGGAATCAGTCTCTGCGAAATGTAGGTGCCTACAGGTCTGTTCTAAGTACAAATGAATTTGATTATAATTTGGTGAGTCACTGACCCAAGCATTTTGTGCCTACATGATTATGGGCATAGAGGTATGTGCGGTAGTGTACATCTGTGTAACTGGAGTCTGGCTTGTAGTTTACCCAATATGTCGCCTACTGTCAAAACTGGTCTTCACAAGGAAAGTTAGATACAAACTGTAATTGCTAGAGCTCTGTCAACCAAAGAAAATGTCATGTATATAATATGAAATTCATAATTTGTCAGCAAACCAAGTATTCCAATATAGCCTGTTTGAAAATTTTCACAGCCTCGCTGGGATTCCTTTAATATCTAACAAGGATAAGTTCTGAGAGATAAAATAGTTTTCAAATTCATTAGCCGGTAACATTATTCATGAACCCATGTAAGTAATAAATTTTAAGTTCATAAGGTCTAATGGTCATACAGACTGTTCTGCATACCACAGTGAAGATACAATTTTATTAGTAACTGTATCAATACTATGGCTTATGTCTGAACTGGAAATTTCTGTTTCAAAACATTACACATTGATACAACTTTGAGCAATAGAGAACTGACTGTTTTGAAATTATTATGTCGCGTTAGCTGGAGTCCTTTATTGTTAAACTAAATGTAATGCATAGTTGGTTAGAATAAGAATGCTCACCTACAGCACTTTACATTTACCTGCATTTTAATGTAGTGTTTGTGCACACGTATGACAATGTCACTACACCTGCAAATACGGTTTTCTATCACTCTGATTTGTACAAAGTCTGCTTCTCTATTTCATTACAGGGTTTTTTACAACGGTCTGAATCCTACCACTTGTGTATAACTTCTGCACTGTCACCTAAGGCATTATTCATAATAACAAACGAGGGTGCCTGGTATTAAACTATGTGGCAACTATCTAGTAATCTTTGTCACTTTGAAGAATTTATAGCAATCCTTTACCTCCTGCCTTCTCTCTTGTACAATGTTCACTCTCTCACTTTGACAAGACCTCCAGTCAACCAGAGCTTTGAGTTACAGACCAAAAGACATTTAAAGTAGAAAAATCAAATTTTGTTTGAATAAAAATATGATATTAATCTTTATGACTTTAAAAAGGACTCAAAGCAAATAGGGTCAACAAAAATAGGAAAAAAATGAGAAAAATTGTTTACATGCTTCTCCTCACCTGCTTTTTTCTTCCCAGCGATTCCCTGCTTACAGGCTTAATAACTAGTTAACTGAATGACATTTTAAGTTGCTTTGTTCCTTAAACTTTTGATAAAATCTCTAGCATCACTTGTCTGCTCAATTTTTCTCAGTGACACTTCTCAGTCTCTTTATAACCTGCAGTTTTCCAGCTGCCCTCTGTGTTTTGCTGCCCAGTCTGAAGGGTGCCCACTAAGCAAGTTTTATAATTCCTCCTAAGAAAGAGTGATTGCTCCCTTCTTAGAGTGTCTGCTACCTCTTCTACCTTTCTGGAAACGAAACCCCTCAAAAACCATCCCCAGAACCATGCATTGCTGTTAAATAGGTGCAATTCCAGTACTGAGGGGAGCCCTTTGGAAGAGACCAAAAGCTACATTTACCACTTACTATCTGTATGGCTACTTGGTCTTAGAGCATGTCCTCAGATGGTCTATTTAAATGAAATAATTATCACTTCAGGCAAAACATCTAGACATTAATAATAGAAAAATAGAATTGAGATCACATATGAATGTACTTTAAACTGTGTCTACTTATGTACTGCATTACTTATCCTTTCACTCCCTCAGGGAATGCAGCCTTCCTGCTTATCTGAACTGGTGAATAGGGTGCTTGTTAGAATTTCTCTTTCTAATGAGGTCACCCATAAATATTACTTACTGCATCTTTTCTGCCTGGTGTAGTTCATGCCAGTATACTTTGTAAACATTATTAGTAGATATGTTGTATATTAACATGAATTTAGAAAAAGAGAAATAGAAAGTGATTATTTGAACCTTTTTACCATCCAGAAGAGCATAGGTGTGAAGGAGAACATATAGAGTACATGAAAATTATAGTCCCATTACAGAACAAAGACCTTAATGGTCTTGCTTCTTTCTTAGTGTTTTAGACCATATCAGATTACACAACAATCTCTGAACATTACATAGAATGAGAGAAGAAATCTATGAAACCTATTAAGGGGGTTTTATTTTTTATATATATTTTTTTAATGGGATTGTTTACAAAGCCTCTTACGAGTCTCTCATAAAAAAACAACACACTTTTTCTTTTGCTAGGGAGGTAAATCATCCAGTACTTTAAAGAAGGAGCACCACTGTGAATCAATAAAGCAATTAGCTTTATAAAAACAGAACATAAATGTTTATATGTCCTTTTTAGACAGAGAGATATTGAATATAAAGTCCTCCTGACCAGAATTTTGGACATAATATTAATGATTTTAACTCCAGCAGGCAGTCATTGGCCACTTGCTCAGATTATTCAGCTGCAGAACAGTTTTGCAAATAACACTGAAGAATGTTATCCAAAAAGCCAGGCTTTGCCTTGAATTACAGCCATTACTTAGAACTCATAACAGTTTAAAATAACATAAATAATAATTTAAAAGCTATTCTGCTTTACTCTGCTGTCTTGAGGAATTAAAAAAAATGATTATTTGGCAATATGTAATTCTTTAATTGGTGGAGGAAACTTAACTGTATAGATGGTCAATGGCTTCATCCCAAACCAATTAGAATTAATTTAGTCTTTTTCTTCACTTAAGTGGACATTGTTTAACCCCTAGATTACTGTCATTTTCCTTTCTGAAAAAGCTGGTTGCATCCTGGATTTCAGCTCTCCAAAAACTCACAGAAGATGAAAGATTTGGATATGTCTGACATTATACTGTCCAGTTAAATGAATTAATGCTTACTGGGAGCTTCAATATGCAATGAAAAGTCCTATCTGACTTGTTAAGTACAGACTATGTTATTTCTATGGTCTGGATGATCCATATTGTGTGCAAAAAATAATATTTTGAGTGTACTACCACAGAACAATATTTACAAAATATTTCCAAATCAATGAATTTTGCACTTTATTAATCATACCTGTCAAAAGTCAGTATATGCTGAATCTCCTTGATTTCAATTTGCTCATGAATGAAGAAAGGTCACCTCTGTGTCTATACTGGAGTAATAACACAAGCTTTGCATTGTGATGGCATTCATACCATGTGAATTTTGAAAATATGACTATACTATTTCAGCATCAAGACATGAGTATATTGTCTTTCCATAAAAAATGAAAAGCAGAAATAAGGGAAACAATGATTATCTGTTTTTTTCAGAGATGCTGAGAATGTCCTAACTTCAACAAATCTGTGAATAAATAAAATGTTGGAAAGCTTTTTTCAATACACTACCAAAGTTCTATGCTTTAATTCAGTTGTACCTTTGTAGTGGTTTGACTCTGGCTGGAAGTCCAGGTTCCCACCACAGCTGCTCTGTCCCTCTCCTTTCTCAGCTAGACAGGGGAAAGAAAATACAACAGAGGGCTCATGGATTGAGATGAAGACAGGGAGATCATTCGCAGTTACTGTCCCAGGCAAACTAGTTGATTTGGGGAAATTAATTAAATTTATTAGCAATCAAATTAGAGAAGAGTAGTGAGAAATAAAAGCAGATCTTAAAATAACACCTCCCCCCCACCCCTCCCTTCTTCCTGGGCGTAACATCATTCCCAATTTATCCACCTCCTCCCCCCGAGTCGTGCAGGGAGTCGGGGAATGAGGGTTGTGGTCAGTTCAACAGATGTTGTCTCCATTACTCCTTGTTCCTCCAGGGGGTACTCCTCATTCTTCCCCTGCTCCGGCATGGGGTCCTCTCCTGGGAGACTGTTCTCGACACACTTTCTTCGATGTGAGTCCTCTCACGAGAGGCAGTTCTTAACAAACTGCCCCGATGTGAGTCCTCTCCATGGGATGCAGTCCTTCAGGAGGAAACTGCTCCAACACAAGTACCCCACAGGGTCACAAGTCCTGCCAGAAAACCTGCTCCGACATGGACTTGTTTCTCTCCACAGGCTACAGGCTCTGGCAGCAACCTGCTCCAGTGCAGGCTTCCCACAGGCTCACAGCCCCCTTCAGGCATCCACCCACTCCAGATTGGGGTCCTTCATGGGCCACAGGGGAACATCTACACCCCATCACACCCATGGACTTCAGGGGGACAGCCTGTCTCACCATTGTCTTCACCACAGCTCAGGGGAATCTCTGCTCTGGTACCTGGAGCACCTCCTGCCTCCCACTTCTTCACTGACTTTGGTGTCTTCACATATTCCCACTCCTCTCTCTTTCTCTGACAGTTGTTGTGGTAGAATTGCTTTTTCCCACTTCTTAAATATGTTTTTGTAGAGGCATTCCCATCATCACCATTAGGCTCAGTCTTGGCCAGCAGCAGGTCCATCTTTGGAGCTGGCTGGCACTGGCTCTGTCAGACGTAGGGGAAACTTGTAGCAGGTTCTTGCAGAAGTAGCTCCTACAGCCCCTCTCCTACCAAAATGTGGCCAGGAAAACCCAATACAGTCTGATTAATATATTTCCAAACATGCCAGAAGCATTCACAGA